CCGACCATATATGGAGAGCATTGTATAATGGTTCATAAACCATAATCGCTAAGCCAATCAAAACGCTAGAATTGCATTATTCAGTTTTTAATAATGTAGGTTATATTTTACGGTTTTATAGTAGTTATCATATATTTATAGGTAATTTTTAGTTTCATTGTAAATCTATCTATCTATCTATCTATCTATCTATCTATCTATCTATCTATCTATCTATCTTTTAGGATGTCCTCCTTCTTTAGCGAAACTTCGAAAGGCCACGGAGTATTCATCACTATTTTTCCTAAATAAATAAGCTTCAACTAGCTCGCATCCACACGTTCCAGCGTCTGATCTGTTTAGATCTGTTACCAAATAACCGGTATTTTGAAGCGCTTTGCGAAAATAGTTCCATGAACAAGGGCCTTAATGCATCATGCAGCCTTTTCGAAATTCCGTATGTCCTAATTTGCCGAAAGACAACTTAATCGCCTCATAAAAATCTTAGTTTCTTGCTTCTTGTTGCTCTAATTTGTTCGGGCCTGCGCAGTTAGGACGACAACTAGAATCCTGTTGTCGGCAAACGGATTATCCCAGAGGTCCCGATCCCTGTGGCTGACCAAAAGGATCGCGGCTTCTGGGAACGAGATTGGGATCCGCCCCCCTATCCCCGGGCAGAATACCTCTTTCATGATATTCTTTAACCCTCTGCGTGTATTTTATCCAGCAGGAACAGTTGACGCTACGAAAGAAAAAAATGGATTCCATGGAGAGCCAACTGGCAGAAATGTTAAGAGAGTTTAAATCTAGAAGCAAGACCAAAGTTATTCTGGAATCAGGTTTAATCATTCTTATTTCGTTGTTCCTGTTTGTTGGAAACTCCTTAACACTCCTGGTTCTGTTGTTAAACCGACGAATGCGAACAATTCCAAACATGTTCGTGGCATCACTCGCCGTCTCCGACTTATTACTAGGAGTTTTCAGTACAGTTCCTTTAACCATCCCTACATTAGTGACTTCCCATTGGCCGTTTAATGACACGACCTGCCAATTTCAAGGTTACTTAGCCTTTGCTTTGGGTTGCGCTTCGATTCACACATTGGTCTTGATGGCTGTGAACAGATATTATAGAATTGTCAAACCGACAAAGTACCGCCACTACTTCACCAAGAAGAAAACCCTTATCATGATACTTGTGACATGGTTCTATTCTATTTGCGCTCCACTAATTTACGTGCTAATTGGGAACAAAATGGTCTTTCATCCTTCAAAGGTCTTCTGTTTTATTCCAATCAAAAACAGTGCATTTATGGCCTATGTTATTCCGCTTTACATAGGGATTCCAATCTGTGTTATAATCTACTGCTACTTTAGAATCTTTACAACAGTTCGCCACCACAATAGCAATTTTCATCACCCTGGCAATCCAATAAGCATGGTAAACGTCGAAGAAGTTAAGGTGGCTCGCACCATACTTGTTATAGTGCTGTCTTTTAATCTGTGCTGGATTCCAATCTTCACAATTGACATTTTGGACACGATTTTTCAAAGATGGATCTTCCCTCCCGAGGCTTATATCGCATATACGTTTTTGGCGACCATAAGTAGCGCTTTGAATCCCTTCATTTACGGCGTGTTCAACAAGAGTTTTCGCAAGAATTATCTGAATGTACTACGTTGCAGATGCTGCCGTTCTCAAGCTGTCGTAGAACCATTGGCTCTGCCAGTAAGAGCGAGTGTTGTCGCCATGGGGCCATTGCCTTAATTACAAGATACAGAGGGAAAAGAATAAGCAATTTAGGTTGTGTCATATTTAACTTTTTTTAAACCGGTAGTGTGGCAGCTGGTCTGACCTATTTTCTTATCTCAACATTGCATGAGTCTCGAATAATCTCCAGGTTGCATAAAAATGTTATTTAAAACTGAATCATTGGATAATGCAATTCTAGAGCTCTGATTGGCTTAAACTTATTAGTAGGAGTCAATATAGGTCCTTTATCCATTACAGCAATAGTGACTTAGTAGTAGTATAGGGCGCACCGAATTATCCCCTTTTTTGCGCAGGAAGCTCATTAGCGTGCGCAGGAATAAATTAACTAGGTGACGTCATAGGCTATTGTCCTGATCTCATGAATAAAATGCTGTGGTATCTCATAAAGATAAGGTCATGTGCTATTTTTAGATGGATGATGTCATGGTTGGTATAACCGGTTTGACAGGTTTTAGTTATTTTCGGAAGATTATTTCTAGTTACTTTAATGTCGATAAACGTCTTCGTTTTCGATTGGTTAGTTAGAAAATAAGAAACGTTTTTATTGGTTAATTCATACTGTCTGAGGAGTAAAGTCGACCTTGTCTGTGACTTTAAATCACTGAGACGTAACGTAATTATACACTTCCTATTTCCTGCTGCTGTGATTGTCCTTGTTCCGGTTCACTGATTTTTGGCGGGCAAATCGTGTATATTAAAGAGGGCAAAGGCAAACTAGCTCTTTTTTACACTGCAAGTAATGTTTTACTTACCCCTCCTCCTTCTTCTCCTCACTCACACTCCTGGTTATGTTGTTAAACCGACGGATGCGAACAATAGCAAACATGTTCGTAGCATCACTCGATGTTTCAGACCTATTAATAGGCGTTAATATAAGTCCTTTATCCATGACAGCGTTAGTGACTTCCCATTGGCCGTTTAACGACAGAACCTGCCAATTTGAAGGTTACATAGCTATTATTTTGGTTGCGGCATCGATTCACACATTGGTCTTGATGGCAGTGAACAGATATTATAGAATTGTAAAACCCACAAAGTACCCACGGTACTTCACTGAGAAAAAAACCCTAATCATGATTCTTGTGTCATGGATCTATTCTATTTGTGCTCCATTAATTTACGTCCTACTTGGGAACAAAATGGTCTTTCATCCTTCTAAGTTCTGTTATTTTCCTATCGAAAACAGTGCATTTATGGCCTATGGTATGCCGCTTTACATAGGGATCCCAACTTGTGTTATTATCTACTGCTACTTTAGAATCTTCACAACAGTTCGCCACCACAATAGTAATTTTCATCACTCTGGTAATCCAATAAGTACGGCAAACGTCGAAAAATTTAAGGTGGCTCGCACCATACTTGTTATAGTGGTGTTTTTTAATCTGTGCTGGATTCCAATCTTAACAATTGACTTTTTCGACTCGATATTTCAAAGATGGATCTTTCCTCCCGAGGCTTATATCGCATATACGTTTTTGGGGGCTATAAGCAGCGCTTTGAATCCCTTCATTTACAGCGTGCTCAACAAGAGTTTTTGCAAATGCTGCCGTTCTCAAGCTATCGTAGAACCATTGGCTCCGCGAGTAAGAGCGAGTGTTGTCGCCATTGGACCATTGCCTTAATTAAAAGATACTGCTGGAAACGAATTAGCAATTTAAGTGGTGTCACATTAAACTTTTTTTACCTGTAGTGTGGTAGCTGGCGTGACCTATTTTCTTATCTCAACATTGAGTCTCAAATAATTACCAGGTCGGCCCATGAAGCAATTTATTTGTTTCATAAATTAAAATGTTATTAAAAACTGAATCATTGGATAATGCTATTCTAGAGCTATGATTGGCTTAGCCATCATAGTATATGGGCCATTACACCATACTCTCCAAACATGGTAACTGTATGCGTCTGCTCAAAATTAAAAACGAGCTGAAAATCGGTTGTTTTTACAAATGAAGTCGGGAAGAGTTCTTGATATTTTGTGGACGTTTTTAATAAAACAATTATTCCACTCGCTCTTGTTGGATATGAGATGATTATAGCCCATTCGGGGCAACGCATAGGCTATCTACCATCTCATATCCAACGCGCACTCCTGGAATAATTGTTCAATATACAATCAGAGTTGGGTAGGGGCGATTAGTAATGTAGATTACCATTATGCTCGAAATTAATTTTGCCAGTATACATGAGCATTACTTTGGTTGCTGCCTCGATTCACACATTGGCCGTTTTCACGCACACTTAAGACTGATTATCCGTTCAAAACCCGTCAAAATTGACGGACAAACTGACAAGTAAAGACAGACCGATTATTCGTCCAAAATTAAAACCGTTACGGTTTCACATTAAGACAGATTATCCGTCTGACGCGAATTATTCAACGGATAACCCGTCTGAAACGGATGATCCCTTCTCTAGAGTGAGAACCGCCATTGGCCTTGATAGATGCCTTTTGTATTGATTACCATAGTAACGATTATGTACTATTACCAACTTCAGTGTAACTACTACATGTACTACTAACTGATATTTTAAAAAGTAATACAATACGAAATGTAAAAGTACTGATACTAAGTGAAAGTAGATTATGATTTGTACTAACATAAAGATTCTTGTTCAGTTAATAAAGGACATTAGGTAGAAAGCAATGGAACCGTGAGTATCTCCGTCCTTGTTTCAAGACTTCACCACGATGATGGTGAACAGGTGTTATAAATTCGTCAAACCAGCCAATTACCGCCGCTATATAATCACCGAGAAGGAACCCCTGGAGATGATTTGTGTGTCGTGGCTTTATTTTGTATGCGCTTTATTTTATCATCCAATCGAAAACAGTGCATTTATGGCCTATGGTCAACAACTTTATCTACAGGGTTTCCAAACAGCATCATCTTTTATTGTTAACTTAGAATCTTCAAAACCCATTACAGTCATAACAGTTATCACACCCCTGGTAATCCAAGAAGTGCATAAAACGTAAAAGTTAAGGTGGCGCGAACCTAATTCGTCACAGTGGTATTTTTAATCTGTGTTGGACACATTTTTCTAAGATGGATATTCCCTATTCCTTTATACGACTTGATAAACAAGAGCTTTCGTGAGAATTATTTGAAGGTCCTACGCTGCAGGTAGTGGGCACTACTTGTAATTAATCAATTAAATAAATAATAAAAAAGCACACCTTTGGGGGCAAACAATTGTATCCCGAGTGCGAGTGTTATAATTATTTGAACCTACAGACAACCGACATAAGTATTGAAAGGCATTAGGCTTAACAGTATTGTTGGCGGAGGAGCTATGACGGGGACTAGGTGATTCCTTCAACAACATAACCAAGTCTTTGTGTTCGGCCCGAACTAGGTTTTCACAGTGACTATCTGGATCTTACTCTCCAATAACCGTTGCTGCACCTTTCGTTTTAATAGTTGTCAATAAACCCATCTGTTTAACCCAAATTGATGCTTACTTATGTCTGATTTTGGTTCATGAATTGGTAATTTTCTCTTTCATATTTTTCTTTCACTTTTATTTGCCAGATTTTCAGGTATCCTTTCTTCCACCTTTCCATTCGTTTATGGGATGAATCTTGCAACTTTGTCTCCAAGACCGGCTACAATAATTGCTCTCGTCAAATTCGTGAAGTCAAATTCACTTTCTATTTTCAATTGTTGTTTTTGGGTTATGGTAGAACTTCTGAAAAACCCAGTCTCTGAAAACTTCAGCTTGTTTAAGTTTGTAATTGAAAATTAATTGGTATGATCCAGGTTCACTTACACAAATTGTATATGTTGCTGTATGATTTTAAGGGATCATTCATCGTTTCTGGGCAACGTATCGTAAAGTACTCGATAAAAATCGTCTCGATTTAATGGCCTCTCGATCACGTTTCTGGCAGTCGAATCGAAGACGTGAAATCGAGACTCGTTGCCACCTGTCTCGATAACTCGTTTCAGAAACGAGACACGTTAAAACGGGGCCTAAAACGTTCTCGAAAACGTGGAGCAAAAAACGAGAATCGATTTTTCTCGAAAACGTAGGACCCAAAACGAGACTCGATTTTTCTCTAAAACGTAGGGCCCAAAACGAGACTCGATTTTTCCTTTTCGTAGGGACTCGTTCAAAAACTAGAAAAGGTATTTGCCTGGAGAAGGTTAAGTCCAAAAAAGTCGGACAAATATCCTATCAAAAAAATATCCATGCGCTGCCTTCAAAATATCAGAGAAGGGAAATAATGTGATGCGGTTTTTCACTTGTAAGGGCAATGGCAACGAACGGATTGAGCGTAGATGGGGTCGTCTGGGGTAAATAGTTTATTTATAAATGGGTAAGCCGAAAATCAAATGGTTCGCGCCATTCCGCTTGGGAATCGTCAGATTATAAACCATTGTGAGGTGATTCAAATTTTCAGAGAACTCTTTTACATTTCAGCAGGTCGTTTTTTTTTTTATGTGAAAGTTAATAGTCATAATTATATTTGCAAGATTTTTGAAAGTTTTTTGATTTTTGTAAAAGATAGGCACACCTAGGTAGAAAAGGTTAAAGATGGAAAATAAGATGGAAAAGACACCAGCAAATAATTACGACAACAACATTTTCGATACGAAAGAGAAAAATTCTATTTGCATTTCAACTGAGGATAACATTAAAGGCTCTCACAGAAATCAACTTAGCCAGCGGCCACACAAAAGAGGATAAAAATAAGGAACAATTGATAATACTAACAAAAAAATCATTTGTTGAAGCTTTTATCTTAACTATTGTATAGCGGCTCAATCATTATGGGATGGTGTGGCTTCGACTAATGGTAACCACTCAATAAATAAAGTTGATAATTTAAAAAAAAAAAATTACACTGCTCTATTAAGGTAACAACTGCTATTTTCAAGAAACACATTATTTGTACATGGCTCTAATCAATTCTTATTATTAATGATATTAATAGCGCTCATCAAATCTGTTTTTAATTTTCTATGCAATGTTCTTTTGGAAATATATTTTCGTATTTGGGCCTTAACGAAGTACTTGACTAATGAAACAGAAGAATATAATGATTTAATATTATTATTCTAATTTTTAACCAATAACGAGGGTAGCCTGAGTATCAGGTCATCCTTATGGGCTACCGGAGAGGAGATTTTAGCTCTCTCCTTGTTCGCTCCTCTCTTCCCCTTTCTTACTCAAAAACGCCTGATACTCAAGCTATAACGAGAGAGGCCAAAAACGTCACGTGCAACCAAGGGCTAATTCCGTTGCCTTTTAAAAAAAGGCCTATGTTCACCCAAGCGGCCTTGCTCGCCCTATACTGCAGAAAAATAATTTCGCGACGTTGAAAGTTTCTCCCTTCAGTTTGTGTAGAGTGACGCTTCGGCCATGCGTGAAAAAAACGAACACTCTGCCCAATCAAAACATCTGCTGAATTTGACAAAGGAAGGGTTTCAAAACCAAAACACTAGCTCACAAAGTCACGTTGGTGAACATGGGCTTTTAAGAGCTAAATAGTTTACTCCTTTATATACATGTATGAGCGAAGATAAGCAAAATCAACTCTGTTCTGAGCAATCCAAACCGTTTCACCATGGACACGCTCATATGAGCTTTTGGTTTTATTTTTAATCTTAGAGGCTGCCATGAACAAAGGCCCTGGCGTTGCATTGTGACGTTATAAAACGAAATTCATTAGGAAATTGAGCAATTTTTAATTTTCATTCGACAAAAACCTTGTAACAGAATAATTTAAAGAATACGACCTTCTTTTGAGACTTTTTGAGGGATATAGACATGATGAGTTATCTGTGATGACACCAAAAACGATTTACGATGGGAATCCGAGGAAAAAAATAACAAATTTCACTAGAACCGGCGACTGTGAAACACAGGTGAAATTCTGAAAATTTCATGTGCAAGATGCCAATTTGTGAAATTTGTCATTTTTATTCGAACTCACATGAATAATTCTCTTTGGTGTTATTGCAAAAAACCAATTACATCTATAGCCCTTGAAAAATGAATACGATATTCTGGTAAAAGGGTTTTTTTTTTTACACTGGAATTTTAAATTTACTTAATTTCTTAATGGCTTCCATCATAATACGATGTAAAGAATAAGGAACTTGACAATTAGCTTTCCTTCACCATCAACCCAGCGATTGATGTTTGCCACATCGTGCCCCCACATCTCTCCTTCCTTCAGTGTAGTCGTCGGGAGAATATGTGTTATTTCCTCCACCTCTCCGGGCGACAACACAATTCTATCGATTAAAAAAAAAAGACGCTAGTTTCATTCATTTACATCTTTAATGTGACTCACCATCATCACTTTCCAATCAGTAAAAATTTTGTTAATTTGTGGTGTGAAAATTCAGTAGTATCAGATAGGGCTAAACTGTTCAAAACTAGTGTTTCGATGTATTTTGTACTATAGGAACCCCATCTACTTTCAAAATCGGTTCAAGTTCGTGAAAAGTAAAAAAGCAAAACACGTATAACAGTGAGCAGTTCGTCTGAGACACGATGTATTGAGAATGTCCAATTTAATTGTTTTATCTTTCCTTGTTATGAACTTATAACTTGATAATTAAATAGTGGCAGGCCATTCACAGATCCCGCAGACGTGTCGCATGAATGTAATTGCTTTTCTACATGTAGCGTAAAAGAGATTAACTACAGTTTGGCTTTAACCAGTATATCTCTTAATGAACTGCCTCTTTTATAAGAAATGATCGGAGGTTCTTTGAACATTTCTTTAAGTTTAGGTTGTAATTCTATAAGATGCCATCTCTCCATTAGAATGTGTTTTAGGTTAGGCACAGATGGGTTGTATTGCGTTACAAAGGGCAATATTTCTTTGCGTACTCTTGTGTTTTCTTGGAGAGCTTTCTTTCTGTCAGAGAATTTGACTTCCGAGAGTGTTTTATCTATAAAGTTGTTTGGGTAGCCTCTCGCTCGAAGGCGTAGTTTGAATATTCTTATGTTTTCTACGAAAGTCTCAGGCCTTCACCTTTCACGAAGCCTTTTTTGACTCCGGGTGGGTGACAGGATTTAAAATGCGTGTACTGGAATGTCTCAGTAGGCTTGAAATAGGTACGCGTGTCAAGGATAGATTCCTTTTCAAATCGTGCTCCTTTGTAGATGCATGTATCAAGGAAGATGATTTCTTTATCAGAAATATCAGCAGTGAATTTTATTGTAGGATGGTAGTTATTTGCATGCTCAATGAAGTTGTTAATTTCCTCTCTATTAGTGTCCCATAGGGAAAACACGTCATCGATATATCTTTTCCATACCAACGGCTTTGTACTTTGCTGATCGATAATTGCTGTCTCAATCTTAGCCATGAAAATATTAGCAAAAGAGACCGCTGTTTTAGTGCCCATAGCTGTACCATGGGTCTGGAGAAAGTCTTTTCCATTGAATTGGAAAGAGTTCTCTTGTAATATAAGTCTCAGCATTTCTCTAAGATAGTGTGTTGGTATTCTCGGTTTTCACTGTCACGCAATCAAAAATAAAATTGCAAACCATTCGATACAGAAAGTCCCGAATCTTGGAAATAAAAGAAGATAAATAAGCAAAAGACCTTGCCAAGAATCAGGTCTGTGCGATATTTCATATGCGAGATATTAGGAAAAACGTTTTACCCAAATTTATAAAGCTTTGTATGGAGGCGCCATGTTTGTGTCCCTTTGAGGGGCACAAATATGGCCGCCGGAAACCAACAGAAACATCTGTTTTTGAGTTTTCCTACTAATGCGTTAATTCATCGCTTAAAAAACTCATAAACTATTAAAGTGATATTTATTCTGACAGAAGGAATGTTTAGATAGCAAAATCTCCCCAAACTGGTAATGTTTTTAACCCACAGAAGAGCAGTCCCGGCCGCCAGCTAAATGCCGCGTCACGCAAAAGCCTAGAAATTCAAACGTCCTCCATCGCAAAACGAAGAACCCTTTCGAACCAAACCTCTGTTTAAATAAAGGTGTTTAGGTGCTGTAATACCTCATGAAACTCAGAATCTCAGAAGAATCGATAGTTTCCTAGTTTGAATTTTGATGACGTCATGTGAAAATCGAGAATAGGGGGCGTTGTCGTGTAGAATGTGTCATATGCATGGCATATGGTCGTGATACCCTCTTCTTGCGGTATATTTGTATATAGACTCGTAACGTCCATTGAGACAAGGACTGCATTTTGTGGAACTCTCGTTCCTTCAATGAAGTTAATAAATTGAGTTGTATCTTTAATGTATGACTGCTGTTCTTTCATTATTGGTTGAAGGAGACTGTCAACAAAAGCTGAAATTCTCTCAGTAGGGGAATCGCATCCAGAGATTATTGGTCGACTTGACAAGCTGACCTTGTGTGTTTTTGTAAGAGTGTAGAAAACTGGAATGCGTGGAGGGTTCGGTGTGTGAGACAACCAGTTTAATTTCATTTCATCAATGTGTTTCTTTTGGTAGAGTTCTGTAATAATGTTTCGTACTTTCCTAGCGGTTTCTTCTACCATTGGTTTTTCGAGGGGTCTGTAGTGTTCTTTGACCTCGATTAGTGTCATGCCCTCTTTAATCTTAAAAATGGAATTAAATTTGCTTAAAATGTTCTGACCCTCTAAGATTAAAAAAAACCCAAAAGCTCACATGAGCGTGTCCATGGTGAAACGGTTTGGATTGCTCAGAACAGAGTTGATTTTGCTTATCTTCGTTCATACATGTATATAAAGGAGTAAACTATTTAGCTCTTAAAAGCCCATGTTCACCAACGTGACTTTGTGAGCTGGTGTTTTTGTTTTGAAACCCTTCCTTTGTCAAATTTAGAAGGTGTTTTGGCTGGGCAGAGTGTTCGTTTTTTTTCTCGCGTGGCCGAAGCGTCATTCTACACACACTGAAGGGAGAAATTTTCAACTTCGCGAAATTATTTTTCTGTATTATAGGGCGAGCAAAACCGCATGGGTGAACCTGCGCCTTTTTTAAAAAGGCAACCGAATTAGCCTTTGGTTGCACGTGACGTTTTTGGGCTCTCTCGTTATAGCTTGAGTATCAGGCGTTTCTGGATGAGAAGGGGGAAGATAGGAGCGAAAAAGAGAGAGAGCTAAAATCTCCTCTCCAGTAGCCCATAAGGATGGCCTGATACTCAGGCTACCCTCGTTATAGGTTTAAAAGTAGAATAGTAATATTAAATCATTTTATTTTTCCGTTTCATTAGTCAAGTGCTTCGCTAAGGCCCGAATACAAAAATATATTTCCAAAAGAACATTGCATAGAAAATCAAAACCAGATTTGATGAGCGCTATTAATATCATTAAGAATGATAACTGATTAGAGTCGTGTGTTAATAGAGCAGTGAACTTTTTTTTAAAATTATCAACTTTATTTATTGAGTGGTTTTTTTGTTAGTATTATCAATTGTTCCTTATTTTTATCCTCTTTTGTATGGCCGCTGGCTAAGTTGATTTGTGTGAGAACCTTTAATGTTATCCTCAGTTGAAATGCAAATAGAATTTTTCTCTTTCTTATCAAAAATGTTGTTGTCGTAATTATTTGCTGGTGTCTTTTCAATCTTATTTTCCATCTTTAACCTTTTCTACCTAGGGGTGCCTACCTTTTACAAAAACCAAAAAACTTTTCAAAAATCTTGAAAATATAAATATGACTATTAACTTTCACATAAAAAAGAATGATCTGCTGAAATGTAAAAGAGTTCTCTGCAAATTTGAATCACCTCACAATGGTTTATAATCTGAGGATTCCCAAGCGGAATGGCGCGAACCAATTGATTTTCGGCTTACCCATGTATAAATAAAGTATTTACCCCAGAAATTATCTACGCTCAATCTGTTCGTTGCCATTGCCCTTACAAGTGAAAAACCGCATTACATTATTTCCCTTCTCTGATATTTTGAAGCCAGCGCATGGCTATTTTTTTTAGGGGATATCTTTCTGACTTTTTTGGACTTAACCTTCCCCAGGCAAATACCTTTTCTAGTTTTTGAACGAGTCCCTACGAAAACGAAAAATCGAGTCTCGTTTTGGGCCCTACGTTTTAGAGAAAAATCGAGTCTCGTTTTGGGCCCTACGTTTTAGAGAAAAATCGAGTCTCGTTTTCGGCCCTACGTTTTAGAGAAAAATCGAGTCTCGTTTTGGGCGCCACGTTTTAGTTTAACGTGTCTCGTTTTTGAAACGAGTCATCGAGACAGGTGGAAACGAGACTCGATTTCACGTTTTCGGTTGGACTGGCGAATACGTAATCGAGAGGCCTTAAAATCGAGACGATTTTTATCGAGTAATTTACGACACGTTGCCCAGAAACGGTGAATGATCCGACATCTTATCTACACTCAATCCTTTCGTTGCCATTGCCCTTACAAGTAAAAAAGGTATCACATTATTTCCCTTTTCTGATATTTTGAAGCCAGTGCATGGTTGTTTTTTTCGGAGGATATTTTTGGGACATAGATTAATTTTTTTGGAATTTACCCTCTCCCGGAAAATACCTTTCATATGGTGTAATCCCTCAGAGTTAGTTTTTGAACAAGTCTCTACGAACACGAAAAATCGAGTCTCGTTTTGGGCCCTACGTTTTCGAGAAAAATCGAGTCTCGTTTTTTGCCCTACGTGTCTCGTTTCTGAAACGAGTTATCGAGACAGGCTGCAACGAGTCTCGATTTCACGTTTTCGATTGGACTGCCGGAAACGTAATCGAGGGGCCATTAAATCGAGACGATTTTTATCGAGTAATTTACGATACGTTGCCCAGAAACGGTGAATGATCCATTTTAAGGAGGTGGCGATTCACCACCTCTATTTTTTTGGTATTCCTTTTTTATATTTCTCACTCACATGATCGATGATAGCAGATTTATATTTTCTTAAGATCAATATAAGAAGTCATTTCGATTTCTAAATCATTGCAGAAAAATTTCTGTTCCATAGCTCAGTATAATTTTGAAGGCTTGGCGCCTTCTAGCAGGACCTCTTAGGAAACAGAAATTTACTTCAATTGGTTCAAAAGGTCATGGTTCGTGATTTGCGATTGGTGGATTTCGATTCGTTTTGTGAGTGTTCGTGGCTGTTGAACTAGCCTGCGAGCAAGCTCTCCGGGGCGCTCTGGCGGCGGGGCGGGAAAAGAAAGGAGAGCTTGCAACTACGTCTCTGCAATTTGAATATCCACATCGAAAAAGTCGATGCGAAATGCTGATTGGCGGAGATGACATTAGTAATGACGTCACCCATGCAGTATTTTTCGATGTTTGTTTACGTTTGCGGTTGTTTCCCCTTCACGCTGATTGGCAGAAATATGACAGCTCAGTCGACGGAGAGCCACAGGGAAATTGGAGGTGGAATTCAAAAGCCTACATATAAATATCCGGATATTTTTTAAGATATTGCGAAGATATATATGCTATTCACCAGCTGGGAGGTCCGTATTGGGAGAAACTGTGCCCGAGGTCTCGGGCGGTACTTAGCTGGTACTTCCTGCTGAGATTTGAAAGTTTCAGGAAAATTTTACCTCAGCCTCCAACCTATTTGTGTTGAGGAAGGGCGCGTTCGTGTTGATGTTCAAAGCGCGCGATCGATTGCAAACCAAGACAAAACATTACAACATGATTTTTGAACTTGTAATTTATATTATCACAATTAAGCTCTCTTTTAGAGTAAAGAAAGGTTTTCGTGTCTTGGTAGATAATTCATAATCTGAGTGTCAAACAAGGATAAAAGAATTCACGAGCTTAAAAGCCAGAGGAAAGAAAATACAGCAAAGATTTTCTTCGGCTGAATATTTACTTTAGGATTAAAATTCAATCGAGCGGGATGAAAAAAGGCTTTGGCGGAAGTAAGCTTTCCCGCTCTGTGCCTTTTCGATCAGAAGGATTTGTGCTTTGATGTTCTGTTATGTGATGTAAACTTTTCACGTTTTAGCTCTCAAGTTTTTTTTGCCTTCTTACTGAAACATGGCAACTAGATTCCCAAGGTGAAATTGTTCCTATAGAGCTTTCAAATCCAGACGAAACACAGATATGGAGGGTGAAGACGAAGGGGTACGTTCCCGCCAACATTTAATTTTGCAGCTTCTGCTCGTTATTGCCGCCTTTATTTGACAAACAAGGATTGGATGCTATGGTAACGGTTTGATTGACATCGAAGAAGAACCCAAAATCCTGCCAAAAGTTTTTGACAACAAAGGTCGCGTGTTATCCGAAACAGCTGTAATTGGTAATTTACTGTCTATCAGTTTACAGATTCTTTGAATCTTTTCGAAATCTTCCCTAAAAAACTGAAAAATCATCTATCATGCTGATTTTTTCTTATTTTATGTTTATTCGCATGAAAATCATAATAATCAGATTGAAACCGATGTGCCCTAATTTGGCCGCATTCATTACAAATAGTATATCCTTTTTTTTAAACCAAAAATATCATTCATGTTATTGCAACATTTTTTGTTTTAACCTTTGTTTTACTTCTTTAATTCAAAATCATTCCACAAAATGATGATCAATTTCTCTACAAATCGTAACTATATATTATTATTATTAAGATCGAAGATATTTTTCAAATGCGTTTACTCTAAAGTAACAGACTGATTGAGATTTGTTTTAAAAAGAGGTCGAATTGGAAATAAACTTAAAACTTAAATTGGCAATCTATGCCTTACAATGGTTTTTTGGCAATTAAATATGTGGCTTGATCGCTTCGCTTCCCTCGCCACAAAATTATACAATTAAATTGGAAATTAAAAATGGCAATTAAAAAATAGCTAGGCCTCGCCCTCGTATGCTAGCTTCGCTCACGCCGTTCTACTCCACAGTCAGTCGTCACTTCGTTCCTTCTTCATGCAAGTAAGAACAATTAAACTTAATGAAAAATATTTACAACTCTCTTATTAAAAATTAAATTAGCAATGAAAACCGCAAGCAAGGACTCGTACTTGTCATATTTCGTACTTTGTACTCAACGACAAGTACCTGCCCTTGTTTACCTGTTTCCATTTCCAAATTGAAAATCAAATTGACAAATCGATTGTCAATTAAATTTTCAATTTGATTGACAGGGTAGGAAAGGAATGGGAGATAAAAGCGCATAAATCGAGTGCATCTCGAATTATGGGCTGGTACCCCCTATTATTTTCTATACTTCTTGTTTAGACCCCTAATCACTCGATTTTTAGTACCTTTGGGACTGTTGGGGGAGGGAGTATAGTAAGTCATGGAAAATTAAGGGGCTGCCTTTGTTCACTCCAATTTTTTTTTTACTTCTGAAAAATGACTAGTAAAAGTTCAGTTTTCGTGTCAGACATTTCAACAAGATACATTAGGGGGCGATGATAGTAATTTATACTGTCCATAAATGCTAAAATTTTGTCGCCTAATTGGTTCTCAGCGTTTAACTTGAGGCTTGTTTATAGAGAATTATTCTTTTCACCATGCACGGAAATGAATTAAGCAGAAACTATAATAAAGGCAATTTGGCATTGCTGTTCACTGTTTTATTTCATGCATGAAAACCGATGTCCCCATAACGCTGCTTGGATAGTTCACTGTTTACGAATAATTCGTTGCAGTTGCCACAACGCTTCAGTGAAAGTAACAAAGTCATTTTTTGAAGTACTTAAGCGCGAAGGTAAATGCATAGGTTAATTTTCAAGAGCGGAGGATGTGCAATATATATATATATGCCTTATTGACCAAGCTTGAGGTCAAGATGGTTGGATATTGGCCAAGTTCATCTTTGTGCTTGTTTGACCGAGACCAAGTCGAAGTCGTTAATAAAAACGCAAAAAAGAACGAGGCCACTATCAAGCCATTTTGACCGAAAAAGCTTGGTCAATGAAGGATTTATGATATCTACAAAAAGATAAATTTTTCTCAAAAACGGGCAAGATGGGCCCATCTTAAGTTGCCATTTAGAACACAGGTGCCCACTCGAGAATTCAGGCATATAATAAAAGGAAATATAGTTGGCCTTGGTGTTGCAAGCGGTAGTTTTAACTGTTTGTCGCTGGAAAGTTTGCTTATTACGCAAAGCTGTAATTTTCTATTTTTTTTTTTTTTTCATGCACTTGCAGATTCCAATAACTCGGACTTGCATTTCGTTAATCGTTTGATAGCCTCCAGAGAAACTAGGCGAAGAAGAAGTTTTTGGTTGTTGTAATCTCGATTTTTCGTTCCATGAAAGTCTCAATACTGCGCAGAGATTAGACGTCTGTTGTAGGTAATCAGTTCTGGATCCGCCTCCTGGGCAGAATACCTATTTTAAAGACCTTGATAACTCTCAGCGTATCTTTTATCCAGCAGGAACTGTTTGACAGGCAAAAAATGGATTCCACAGAGAACCAACTGGCAGAAATGTTAAGAGATTTAAAATCAAGAAGTAAAGCCAAAGTTATGCTAGAATCAGGTTTATACATGCTTATTTTGTTGTTCCTGTTTGTTGGAAACTCCTTAACACTCCTGGTTATGTTGATATACAGACGGATGCGAAAAATTCCAAACATGTTTGTGGCATCAATCGCCGTTTCAGACTTATTTTTAGGAGTTGTCAGTGCAGTTCCTTTAAGTATCCCTACATTAGTGACTTCTCATTGGCCGTTTAATGATACCACCTGCCAATTTCAAGGTTACATAGCATGTACGTTGGGTAACGCCTCGATCCAAACGTTGGTCTTATTGGCAGTGAACAGATATTATAGAATCGTCAAACCAACCAAGTACCGACGCTACTTCACTAAGAACAAAACCCTAATCATGATTCTTGTGTCATGGTTCTATTCTATTTGTGCTCCATTAATTTACGTGCTAAGTGGAAGCAAAATGGTCTTTCATCCTTCCAAGTTCTTCTGTTATTTTCCAATCGAAAACAGTGCATTTATGGCCTATGGTATTCCACTTTACGTAGGTATTCCAACCTGTGTTATAAGCTACTGCTACTTTAGAATCTTCACAACAGTTCGCCACCACAGTAGCAATTTTCATCGCCCTGGCAATCCAATAAGCACAGTAAACGTAGAAGAAGTTAAGGTGGCGAGTACCATCTTAGTATGTGTTGGCTGCCAGTTTGTACAATTGACCTTGTGGACGCAGTTTTCCAAAAATGGTTGTTTCCTCGTGAGGTTTACGTGGCATACACATTTCTGGGTACTATAAGCAGCGCTTTGAATCCTTTAATTTACGGCTTGCTCAACAAGAGTTTTCGTAAGCATTACTGGAAGGTGCTGCGGTACAGATGTTGCCGATCTCAAACTGTCGTAGAACCGTTGGCTTGGCGCGGAAGGGTGAACGTTGTGTGTAGGGTACCATTGCCTGATGTACAGATAAATGCGAATTGAAAAAACTGCTTCAAGTCAGTCTCATCCATTTTGTTTACTGTTCCAACTTCGTTACGAAACTAACGTTACTAAGGAAACTACATGTAATTTAATTTAAAAAAGATCACAGCTAAATACTACCTGGGTGACAAACAAATATATGCCCGTTTGTGTTTGGAAGAGGAACTTTTGACCGGGACTAGTTGATCCCTTCAACAAAATAATCAAGTCTCTCTGTTCAGCTCGTACTAAGTTTGCATAGTACTATCTGGATCGCATTCTCCAGAAACCGCTGCCTCTCCTTTTTTTATTGCGGCCAAATTAACGCTGAGACGTAAGTCTTCTGCGATTTTCTAAAATCTTTCTTAAATCTCGCTTTAAATGAGCTTGAGTTGTCCATTCAATTTAAAACAAGGAGAGCAATATGAAATTACAAGCTACTGGCCTGTGCATAGAACTTTTATAATCAGAGTAAGGAGTAGATACTAAAAATATAGTGTGAAAATCATGTCAAGGTGATCCACAGAAGGTATCAAGCTTCCTCATCGAAAATGATTGGCTAAACTTTTTTCCATAAATTAAATATAAACTGAATCGACCTGGTGCAGTTTAAGTCCGTCCTAACAGACGTTTTGTTTAGTCCCTTGGGGAACAATCAGGTGTCACCAGGTCTCTGTCACAGAGGGGTGTGAAAGATCATGTCATGAAGGAAAATACCTTCGTTTTTAACTCGTGGATGTACGCGAAGCGTGTTCCGCAATGTTCCTCTCGTAAACAAGTAGTGTTGACAAGCATTAAAGTTCACTTCACTTTTTCCTTGGGCTTATCATTTCAACTTTGAACAATTTTGAAATATCACGAGTGATATTTATGCCAAATATCATGTAAAAATCATGCTGTATTTGTCTTTACTACTACCCGCAAAGGTTTTGTAAATTTCACTGCGGATCCTTTATCCCTTCATACACTTGTGACATCTCATTGGCCGTTTAACAATGCACCTTGCACCTATCCCGTAGTCATAGTGACCGTTGGGGCACCATGGACCTAGCAACCCTTTCCCTCCATTTGATTTTGTTTTCAGCTTCTCTTAGGGCGTTGCAAAACTTCAACCCTGTCCAGACCTGAACAACATTATCCTATTTAGCTAATTAACTATTCATAACGGCAACAATTATAAGGCGTTATATGAGAATTACCCTATTTCTCCATAATTGGGCGAAACATGCATTGAAAGATGACAGAACGCAAAGAAAAACAAAAAGACGCTAAAGGTAAGCTTCAAAGCGATATTCAATGCAAATTTTGCTAATTTAGTGAGCAAAGAATATTTCTCATACAACGTCTTCAATTTTCTTGCTGTAAGAATGATTAACTAACTTAGAAGGGTAGTGTTCTCGGGTTCTTGGCATTCTAAGAGGCCTGAAAAGAAGTCAACCCACAAATAAACATAAGAAAATACAAAATGCAATCTTAAAAGGAAAAAGTGCATGTTTCTCTCAATTATGGAGAAATAGGGTAATTCTCATACAACGTCTTATAATTGTTGTCGTGTGAATAATTAATTAGCTAAATAGGATAATGTTGTTCAGGGTTGTCATAGTGAGCTTGGGCTACCTCTGACGTTTATGGCAGAATCCACTTAACGTGTCGCAGAAACACCTGCCCCTCGTTGATTAAAACTAAGCTATAAAACTTTGAGCACGAGGACTGAATATTGCTAAAGGCAGTTGACAATAGTCGATCTCGGAGCTCAGCTTTATAAGGTATTAGTTTTAATCAACAGTGATTTGGATACTGCCACAAGAGAGCTGCTGTTTCAAGAAAACCTAAAAGGACCACAGGTAACTGAACGTCACTTATTCTTCTATTCCACTTTGTGTATTATATACCCAAATATCAATTGTGGTTCTATTTAATCCTTAATGTAATATTTGGACGGATGATTTTTCTAGAGTTTCTACTGCAAAATAATAGTAACGCAAGTAAAACACGAAAAAAGGTCGTATTTTACGTATGTTTACACGCAATAAATTTTTCAGTGGCAGAAATCCAGTTAAACACTCTAGTCCATAAAATTAACCAGGTTTCCTAGTCGAGTTTTCTTTTAAAGAGGTTTTTCATAGTGGGCGAGTTAAGACATCCGCTGTAATCCTTCCCCTGGCACAATCCCTCGGCTCTTTCAGTGAACTCTTTTAACCCTTTGTGGCGTATATTTTTTCTTGCTAGCAGGAACTGATTGACGCTTAAAAAAATGGATTCCACAGAGGACCAACTGGCAGTAATGTTAAGAGAGTTTAAATCAAGAAGGAAAGCCAAAGTTATTGTGGAATCAGGTTTATTCGTTTTTATTGTGTTCTTTCTGTTTGTTGGAAACTTTCTTACACTCCTGGTTATGTTGTTAAACCGACGGATGCGAACAATAGCAAACATGTTCGTAGCATCACTCGCTGTTTCAGACTTATTGTTAGGAGTTTTCCTTTCAGCGCCATTAGGCATTCCAACATTAGTGACTTCTCATTGGCCATTTAACGATACAACCTGCCAATTTGAAGGTTACTTAACCATTGCATTGTGTTTCGCTTCGATTCACACATTGGTCTTGATGGCAGTGAACAGATATTACAGAATCGTCAAACCAGCAAAGTACCGCCACTACTTCACAAAGAAGAAAACCCTTATCATGATACTTGCGACATGGTTCTATTCTATTTGCGCTCCACTAATTTACATGCTACTTGGGAACAAAATGGTCTTTCATCCTTCAAAGTTCTTATGTTGTATTCCAATCAAAAACAGTGCATTTTTGGCCTACGGTATTCCGCTTTACATAGGGATTCCAACCTGTGTAATAATCTACTCCTACCTAAGAATCTTTACAACAGTTCGCCACCACGATAGCAATTTTCATCACCCTGGCAATCCAATAAGCACGGTAAACGTTGAAGAAGTTAAGGTGGCTCGCACCATACTTGTTATAGTGGTGTTTTTTAATCTGTGCTGGATTCCAATCTTAACAATTGACTTTTTGGACACGATTTTTCAAAGATGGATCTTCCCTCCCGAGGCTTATATCGCATATACGTTTTTGGGGACTATAAGCAGCGCTTTGAATCGCTTCATTCACGGCGTGCTCAACAAGAGTTTTCGCAAGAATTATCTGAATGTACTACGTTGCAGATGCCGCCGATCTCAAGCTGTCGTAGAACCATTGGCTCTACGAGTAAGAGCGAGTGTTGTCGCCATGGGACCATTGCCTTAATTAAAAGGTATACAGATTGAAACGATTTAGCAGTTAGATTGTGTCACATTTAACTTTTCTTACCTGTAGTGTGACAGCTGGCCTGATCTATTTTCTTATCTCAACACTGAGTCTCGAATAATCGCTAGGCGGGCCCTGAAGCTTTTTATTTGTTGCAAAAAAAACGTTATTAAAAACTGAATCATTGGATAAAGTAATGCTAGAGCTCTGATTGGCTTAGCCATCGTGGTATATGAGCCATTATACCATGCTCTCCAAGTATGGTAACTGTATGCGTCTGCTCAAAATTAAAAACGAGCTGAAAATCGGTTGTTTTTACAAATAAAGTCGGGAAGAATTCTTGATATTTTGTGGACGTTTTTAATAAAAAACAATTGTTCCACTCGCTCTTGTTGGATATGAGATGATTAGGGAGCTTACGAATCGACGACTTTTGCAAGACGCCGCCGCTGGGTCACGTCATAGTTCTGCGTTGCCGTCCTGTAGAAATTTGAATTTACGATTCGTAGTGAAGACGACGACGTTGGTGAGCGCAGCAGGCAAATTTTCCCGCCGTTTCTGAGGTTTGTTTTCTTCTTTTCACAAGTAAGCTTATTTGTTCAACCAAAATGTCTAAATTCATAAGAGAAACGAGAGCTCGTATTGCAGACGCTTATGGAAACAGATTTATAAAGGACCGAGTATTTCACTGTATTTGTAATTTTATGCGTTTCGTCAACAAACTCAGAGTTAACTACGGATTTAGACAAGACAACAAAGGACGAATGCGAGGCGTGTTTACATACAGGGAGGGCATTTACAAACTTGTTGAACAGCTGTAGTTACTGTGATCAGGTAACCACTTGCAATGGTCTAGTTGTAGCTTTGGTACCATCTTGCCAATATGGTTTCACTCGGTGTTAATTTATGTTTGTCTACAGCTAGCTATGGTGTTGATTCTTCGGGTCGTTACTCCAATGAAAACAGACAAACAAATCGAAGACATATGTAAAGAACATGTCCCAAACGTGATACTTGAATTATCTGGAAAAATCCGCTGAAGTATGTAGGGAAAACTTTGAAAATTAGTCTCACGTCCTGCTTTTTCTAGGACGCCGGCGAATCGCTGTCAACAACGGAGTCGACTTTGGCGCGACGCCGGCAAGTGCCCAGATAAGCATGCGCAGTAAGCCTGTCACGCAGTCCAACGGCGTCGTCGTGCGAAAGTCGTCAATTCGTAAGCTCCCTATTATAGCCCACTCGGCGCTACGCGTTGGCTATCTACCATCTCATATCCAACGCACACTCGTGGAATAATTGTTCAATATATAATCAGCGTTGGCTAGGGGCGATTAGTAATATAGTTTACCATTATACTCGAAATGAATTTTGCCAATATACATGAGCATTACTTTGGTTGCTGCCTCGATTCACACGTTGGCCGTTTTCATAGTTGAGACTGATTATCCGTTCAAAACCTGTCAACATTGACGGACAAACTGACAGATAAAGTCAGACCGATTATTCGTCCAAAATTAGAACCGTTCCGTTTTCACATAAAGACTGATTATCTGTCTGACATGAATTATTCAACGGATAACCCATCTGAGACGGATGATCTCGTCTCTAGTGTGAGAACCGCCATTGGCCTTGATGGATGCCTTTTGTATTGATCACCATAGTAACGATTATGTATTATTACCAACTTCAGTGAAACTACTACATGTACTACTAAGTGATATTATAAAAAGTAATACAGTACGAAAGGTAAAAGTACTGATACTAAGTGAAAGTAGATTATGATTTGTACTAAGATTCTTGTTCAGTTAATAAAGGACATTGAGTAGAAAGCAATGGAAGTGTGAGTATCTCCTTGTCTCATGACTACACCACAATAATGGTGAACAGGTGTTATAAATTCGTGAAACGAGCCAATTTCCGCTGCTATATAATCACCGAGAAGGAAACCCTAGAGATGATTCTTGTGTGGTGGCTCTAATTTTTTATGCGCTTAATTTTATCATCCAGTCGAAAACAGTGCATTTAGGGCGTATGCCTATGGTCAACAACTTTATCTACAGGTTTTCTAAACTGCAGCATCTTTTATTGTTAACTTAAAATCTTCAAAACCCTTCGCAGTCATAACAGTTTTCATATCCCTGGTAATCCAATAAGCGCATCGCGCAGAGTGCCTATTGTTCTCGGGACATTTACTTCCAGTTCAACAAAGTTTGTAGATCTGTCATATTGTTGCTTCTTTCCCACGTCTGTGAAATCCTTTCCAGAGTGGGCCATTTTCTGGCGCATTTTATGATATAAATCGGCCGCCTTTTCCTCCACGGTCGCGCGAAGATTGCCGTTTTCCTCAGTGAGCTTTGTCAACACGTCGTTTGGCGAGAGCTTGATCTCCTCTGGTTTAATGGCTAGTTTAATCCAAGTCTCAGTTCTAATTTTTTTTCTTCTTTTTCCGTCCGTCGTGGCTTGGATCCTTCGCCAAAATCGCCGAATGCTCTCCGCGATTGAGTGCCCAATACCATCTCGAGCAGACTCTTCAAACTGGTAACCAAGCGGCTTGACACTCACTTGAAGTAAGTCGAAAACTGTTGCCGGCTTCCCACAAATTTCTCAGCATCTGTAAACTTTTTCACCATGAATTTGCAGGTGGAACATCGGGCTGCTTTCATCAACAAATGGGGGAACCATGTGAATTTTTAACGGGTGGATCGGGTTTTCGAAGAGCTCTGAAAAGAGCTCCCGATACGTGACATTTTCTGTTTCCATGTTCATTAAATGATTTGGTCGGCAGGTGCAATGAACCATCTGACGCAACGTGATCAGTTTAAAAGTTCGCGGCTTCTCTGTACCATTTTACAATTGAGTGATTTTCTTGAATGGGCATTGTGTCAGTGTTGACAACCATTGTTATTCATTCGTGGACTTAAAGGCCCATGTTCACCCTAGATGCATTGCGCGCCCTGTTCTCCAGCAAAAAACATTTCCCGTAGTTGAAAATCGCTGCCTTCAGTGTGCAAAGTCAATCTTTGTTAGTCTTTCACAGTTCGCTAAATCTGGTTTAAAAGAAAGTCTAAACAGGTTCTTTTGGTATTTTTCTTTACATCTTTTTGGACATTTTGGTCTGGTATCGATCCTTTTTGTTTCTGTGAGTGTTTGTTTTCACTGCAGCACTTTCGATGGCGGCGCCATCGAAACGTACGGTTGGAAGTCCGCGTTGACGGGGGTGTCCGAAGTACATTCGTCTCCGTGAATCCGTTTTTTAAATCTCTGGAGAGATGGGAAAGGAGCTCTTGGCTGTAAATTCTACAGACAGCGTGTTTGCCGAGTTCCCTCTACATCGAATGTTCAATTGTAAACAAACTGAGGTCCCGATGAAATCAGTTGAAAGGAAAACAAACAAGTCAATCTAACATAAACAATGCTTTATTTGATTTAACCTATGAAGCGAGTGATATCCTTAACATAAACTTATCGTCTGGCGTATCACGATTAAAGTTCTAAAGTAGCGAGAACTATTAGTAGCAAACCAATCCTTAGCAAAACGTAAAGAAAGTGTAACACAGAGATTACAGCAACAAGACTGTACGCAGTGCTGATTCGACGCTTTGTAAACACAACTTCTCGCTTATTCTTTCGACAACACATACCTAAGCTTCCTAAGAATTAACACAAAATAATAGATTGAGGAATCAAAACATTTCACAGTCGAATCGGGCTTCAAGAAAATCTCACCTGGTGCTTAGATCTTTCGTAATTTTGTGACCTTCATTGTATTCATCGGACTCAACAAAGCATCCATACGCATTCACTACCAGTTTAAATTTTGAACTGCTTTCTGCGGCGACATTTAACGAAGTCGGCGATATATCTTCCTCCATTTGGAAAAGAATTAAAGTCTTACTGGCCTCTTTGATACTGTTAAGCGTGAAAAAAGCTAGTCTCCCTGGCAGTCGTTTTTAGTATCGTCACGCAACTCTCTCCAAAAGTGGAAGCCAATCAAAACACTGCATTTGACAAAAGAATCATTTCAAAACAAAAACACAAGCGCGCAAAGCCGTTTGGGTGAACATGGGCCTTTAAAACAACAGCCCACTCGCCCAAAGTGCGCCATTTTGAAACTCAGCAACCACTAGCAGTTTTCGAGTCGAAAAGAACAGTGGTTCTCGTTTACCGATTTTAAAAATTAAAACGGATTCTGTTCTAGAAAGGCCCCATCTTTCTTTTACCGCGCGTGAAATTATGAAAGCTGGTGAAAATGTTCAGAAAATCGCTGTCAAAAGTGGCGCCCATACTGAAAACGATCGATTTTTCCGAATTTTCGAGCTTAAAAAAACAGTCTTCATACTCCCTTATATTCCTTCGTTTAAGGCTTAAAGTGTTGATACATCATTGCTTTCCAAAAAGCCGTGCGTGAAAGTTAAGATTACAACTTCTAAAAAACAGAAAAGTATGTTTTACTAGCCCTACTTGACCAATTTGGGCCCTTTCTCTTCTAATCGCACTCAAATTTGCCGCTTCGATGACTATGAATAGTTCAGGATGTCCAGGCATTCTAACAAGCGCTTCCAAATTCAAAGTGACATAATAAAGGTAAGAGATTGCTAATTTATACTTAAAATTTAACGTATTCATAAAACCATTTTTAAAGCTTTCGGTGTTTACTTTAGGTAACAGGCTATAAATACATCTTAGCTTTGTCGAAGTCATGGGGTGTTAACAGTGTACATTAATTTGTAAAAATTAGAGTAACGTCAAAACAGTGAAACAAAAGTTCTTGACACTGAAAGCAACCCGTTTTGTTAAAAGCAATAAAATAATTTCCTGTACGTCAAAACACCATAACGACACAATGCTATTACGGATTTAAAAACTATCATTAATGAAAATAAGAGTAGTGAAAAGCCTTATCTTAATTAATTTTAGTTTGCATGTCTAATCTGTGTGCAAATTTTCCCCTTTACTCTCTCCTTTCAGTTTCATTACCTTCTCTATTTTTCTACTAATGAGTCACTTAGCCGTTGCGTTTGAATTTTGTTGTTACTTCAATCAACGGTTACTTCTAAAGATTTATGTAAGGGTAGCGTACGAAAAGTCGAGTTAAAAGTTGAATTTTTTTTCCGCTATGCGTTTTTTCCTAATGTTTATCACCGCAGGTTATTTCTTACAATAAAATAGTTCAAAAGTGGAAAATGTTTTTCATCCCAACTGAACTTAATCAGCCACTATAAAAATATGATTTTGAGAATGAATATATCGAGAGAGCTGAAAACGTGTCTGCAATTGTCTCATGTTTCTCTCAATTATGGAGAAATAGGGTAATTCTCATACAACGTTTAATTACCTAAATAGGACAGTGTTGTTCAGGGTTGTCATAGTGAGCTTGGGCTACCTCTGACGTTTGTGGCAGAATCCACTTTACGTGTCGCAGAAACACCTGCCCCTCGTTGATTAAAACTAAGCTAGAAAACTTTCAGCACGACGACTGAATTTTGCTAAAGGCAGTTGACAATAGTCGATTTCGGAGCTCAGTTTTATAAGGTATTAGTTTTAATCTAAAAGAATTTGGATACTGCCACAAGGGAGCTGCTGTTTCAAGAAAACCTAAAAGAACCACAGGTAACTGAAATCCCTTGTTACTCTATTCCAATTTGTGTATTATATACCCAAATATCAATTGTGGTTCTATTTAATCCTTAATGTAATATTTGGACAGATGATTTTCCTAGATTTTCTACTGCAAAGTAATAGTAACGCAAGTAAAACACGAAAAAAGGTCGTATTTTACGTATGTTTACACGCAATAATTTTTTCAGTGGCCGAAATCCAGTTAAACACTCTAGGTCATAAAATAAACCAGGTTTCCTTGTCGAGTTTTCCTTTAAAGAGATTCTTCATAGTGGGCGAGTTAAGACATCAGCTGTAATCCTTCCCTTGGCTCAATACCTCGGCTCTTTCAGTGAACTCTTTTAACCCTTTGTGGCGCATATTTTTTCTTGCTAGCAGGAACTGATTGACGCTTAAAAAAATGGATTCCACAGAGGACCAACTGGCAGAAATGTTAAGAGAGTTTAAATCAAGAAGGAAAGCCAAAGTTATTGTGGAATCAGGTTTATACGTTCTTATTGTGTTCTTTCTGTTTGTTGGAAACTTTCTTACACTCCTGGTTATGTTGTTAAACCGACGGATGCGAACAGTAGCAAACATGTTCGTAGCATCACTCGCTGTTTCAGACTTATTGTTAGGAGTTTTCCTTTTAGCGCCATTAGCCATTCCAACATTAGTGACTTCTCATTGGCCATTTAACGATACAACCTGCCAATTTGAAGGTTACTTAACCCTTGCATTGGGTTTCGCTTCTATTCACACATTGGTCTTGATGGCAGTGAACAGATATTACAGAATCGTCAAACCGACAAAGTACCGCCACTACTTCACAAAGAAGAAAACCCTTATCATGATACTTGTGACATGGTTCTATTCTATTTGCGCTCCACTAATTTACGTGCTACTTGGGAACAAAATGGTCTTTCATCCTTCAAAGTTCTTATGTTTCATGTCAATCAAAAACAGTGCATTTTTGGCCTATGGTCTTCTTCTTTACGTAGGGATTCCAATCTGTGTTATAATCTACTGCTACTTTAGAATCTTTACAACAGTTCGCCACCACAATAGCAATTTTCATCACCCTGGCAATCCAATAAGCACGGTAAACGTGGAAGAAGTTAAGGTGGCTCGCACCATACTTGTTATAGTGGTGTTTTTTAATCTGTGCTGGATTCCAATCTTAACAATTGACTTTTTGGACACGATTTTTCAAAGATGGATCTTCCCTCCCGAGGCTTATATCGCATATACGTTTTTGGCGACTATAAGCAGCGCTTTGAATCCCTTCATTTATGGCGTGCTCAACAAGAGTTTTCGCAAGAATTATCTGAATGTACTACGTTGCAGATGCTGCCGTTCTCAAGCTGTCGTAGAGCCATTGGCTCTGTGAGTGAGAGCAAGTGTTGTCGCCATGGGACCATTACCTTAATTAAAAGGTACACAGATTGAAACGAGGTAGCAGTTTAGGTTGTGTCACATTTAACTTTTCTTACCTGTAGCGTGACAGCTGGCCTAACTTATTTTCTTATCTCAACATTGAGTCTCGAATAATCGTCATGTCGACCCATGAAGCATTTTATTTGTTGCATAAAAATGTTATTAAAAACTGAATTATTGTATAATGCAATTCTAGAGCTCTGATTGCCTTAGACTTATTAATAGGGGTTAATATAGGTCCTTTATCCATTACAGCGTTAGTGACATTAGTGACTTCCCATTGACTTTGCAAGTAAGTGTTATAATATAATCTATATAATGCTATATAATCACCAAGAAGGAACCCTTAAAGATGATTCGTGTGTCGTGGCTTTATTTTGTATGCGTTCTATTTTATCATCCAATCGAAAACAGTGCATTTATAGCCTATGGTCAAGAACTTTATCTACAGGGGTTCCAAACTGCATCATCTTTTATTGTTAACTTAGAATCTTCAAAACCCTTCTCAGTCATAACAGTTTTCATCAATAGTCGATCTCGGAGCTCGGAGCCGTTTTATTAACATAAGGAATTAGTTTTAATCTACAAGGATTAGGTACTTCTGTAATTGCTTTGGATACTGCCACAAGGGAGCTGCTGTTTCAAGAAAGCCTAAAAGAAACACAGGTAGAATAACTGAATGTCACTTATTCTTCTATTCCACTTTGAGTATTATATACCCAAATATCAACTATGGTTCTATTTTATTCTTACATAATGTAATATTTGGACTTGGACGGAACATTTTTCTAGATTTTCTACTACAAAGTAATAGTAACGCAAGTAAAACACGTAAAATAGTCGTATTATTCGTCTGTTTACATATTTTTTTTTTCAGTGACAGAAATTCAGTTAAACACTCTAGTTTATAAAATATACCAGGTATCCTTGTCGATTTTTCTTTCAAGAGGTTCTTAGTAGGCGCGAGTTTAGACATCCGCTGTAATCCTTCCCCTGGCAAAATACCTCTGGCAACTCTTTCAAGAAACTCGTTTAACCCTTTGTGGTGTCAGAGGACCAACTGGCAGAAATGTTAACAGAGTTTAAGTCGTAAAGCAAAGCCAAAGTTATTGTGGAATCAGGTTTATACGTTCTTATTGTGTTGTTTGTGTTTGTTGGAAACTGTCTAACGATCTTGGTTATGATGTTAAACCGACGGATGAGAACAATTCCAAACATGTTCGTAGCGTCACTCGCCGTTTCAGGCTTATTAATTGGACTTTATATAGGTCCTTTAGCCATTGCAGCATTAGTGACTTCCCTTTGTCCGTTTAAAGACACGACCCGCAAATTTCAAGGTTCATTAGCCTTTACGTTGTGTTTCGCTTCGATTCACACATTGGTCTTGATGGCAGTGAACAGGTATTATAGAATCGTCAAACCGACAAAGTACCGACGCTACTTCACGAAGAAAAAAACCCTTATCATGATTCTTGTGTCGTGGTTTTATTCTGTTTGTGCTCCATTAATTTACGTGCTAAGTGAGAGCAAAATGGCATTGTTTCATCCTTCAAAGTTCTTATGTTTTATTCGGCTCCAAAACACTCTATTTTTGGCCTGTGGTCTTCTGCTTTACATAAAGATTCCAACTTGTGTTATAATCTACTCCTACTTAAGAATCTTTACAACAGTTCGCCACCACAATTGCAACTTTCATCGCACTGGCAATCCAATAAACACGGTAAACGTCGAACAAGTTAAGGTGGCTCGCACCATACTTGTTATAGTGGTGTTTTTTAATCTGTGTTGGATTCCAATCTTAACAATTGACTTTTTGGACACGATTTTTCGAAGATGGATCTTCCCTCGCGAGGCTTATATGGCATATACGTTTTTGGGGGCTATAAGCAGCGCTTTGAATCCCTTCATTTACGGCGTCTTCAACAAGAGTTTTCGCAAGAATTATCTGAATGTACTACGTTGCAGATGCTGCCGTTCTCAAGCTGTCGTAGAACTATTGGCTCTGCGAGTAAGAGCGAGTGTTGTTGCCATTGGGCCATTGCCTTAAAAGATCCGTATAAAAACGAATTAGCAATTTAGGTTGTGTCACATTTAACGTTTCTTACCAGTGGTGTGACAGCTGGCCTGGCCTATTTTCTTATCTCAACATTGAGTCTCGAATAATCACCAGGTCGGCCCATGAAGCTTTTTATTTGTTTCATAAATTAAAATGTTATTAAAAACTGAATCACTGGATAATGCAATTCTAAAGCTCTGATTGGCTTAGCCATCATGGTATATGAGCCATTATACCTTGCTCGCCAAATGTGGTAACTATGCGTCTGCTCAAAATTAAAAAAGAGCTGAAAATCGGTTGTTTTACAAATAAAGTCCGGAAGAATTCTGGATATTTTGTGGACGTTTTTAATAAAATAATTATTCCACTCGCTCTTGTTGGATATGAAATGATTATAGCCCACTCGGCGCTACGCGTTGGCTTTCTACCATCTCATATTCAATGCGCACTCGTGGAATAACTGTTCAATATATAATAAGAGTTGGCTAGGGGCGATTAGTAATATAGTTTACCATTATACCCGAAATAAATTTTGCCAATATACATGAGCATTACTTTGGTTGCTGCCTCGATTCACACATTGGCCGTTTTCACACTTGAGACTGAT